CATTCATTCATTCATTCATTCATTCATTCATTCATTCATTCATTCATTCATTCAATTTATATAGCTGCCCATCTCAGACCAGTGACTCCGAGTGGCTAACAATAATAAAAACAATCAAGCAATTAAAACAATACAGAAAATTAATTAATTAAATATTTGCTGAGAGACGCAGCAAAAAAATGAAAGGTATCAGCAAAAAATCCAGACCAGTGGTACTTGCAGGAACAGTGTTAACATGGATTACTTACCAGCCTATGGGCAATGGGAGCCTTTGAAATTCTATGCTTTATGTCAAGGCAGATCTTTTGATAGCAGCGCTTCAGGATAACTCTTGCCAACCTGGAGTCAGTTCACATTATCCCCAGTTGGCAACCCATGCTGAATAAGACATTATAGAAGTTGTAAGCTAATGGTTTTTATTTCTTATTTTTTAAAAAGAGGGGCTGTGATATGTTTTAGCAACATTTTCCTGCATAACCGGAAAGACAAGACATGAGAAAGAGAAAAAAAAACTATTCTTGCTCTCTTCAATTGCAGCTGCCAACCCACTTCCTAACAATCCTGATCTCTTCAAAATTGTGGTGTCAGAGAACAGATCCTTCTACACATCGGGATAGGTGGATGGTGGTGGTGGTGGGGAGAAGAGGTCATAACAACCAGCCACAATTGCTAGCCCATTGGGTCACACAATACTGGACCACTGGCACACACAGCTGCTTCCTTTCTGTACTGATCAATGGGACTTACAGCAGACAAATACCGAAATATCTCAGACTGAAGTAGTACAAGGCATTCAAGATGAGAATGCTGAGTGCTGCATTCTTAAAAAAAAAAAAAAAAAAAGCAAAAATGCAGGATACAAAATCCAGCCTGCAAAGGAAGCAACAATTTCATTCATCAAAGAAGAATGGCAGATGAGACAGACACAACAGTAGAGGAAACCGGTCCATGCTTGCAGTTCCTTAGACAAACAGTCTTCTGGTCATCTAGTACATGTTTCTAGGGCAGCCTTTTGCCTCTGAATTAACTCCTTGCATTCTGAGCAAAGATGGCCGGATGAATATCAAACTTAGGGAGAGATGGAAATCATAATGCTATCTGGCTGTGTTAGACTATACTTCTCAGCATATCCAATCTACTTGGAGGACACCAGGTTGGGGAAGGGTGCAATACAGCATACAAAGCTGAAGGAACCTGGTTTACTGATGTGAAAATAGACAACAATAACCAAATGGGTAGTGAAAGTGTGATAGAAGAGCGGTGTATGTTCTATCCAGGATTGGTTGTGTGTAACTTGTCACATTAAAAAGTGCTTTTGCATCAAGGTCACTCATTCTTTAATAGTATGCCTATGTTATGAAATGTTCATACATTAAAAACAGTAATGTTAACAGCCGTGTACTTAACTCTAAAGATTCCATTTTTAATTCTTTCTTTTTAGGTGCATCCCCATATCCTGGCATACAAATAGATGAGGCCTTCTTCAGAAAGTTAAAAGAAGGCATACGCATGAAAGCTCCGGATTTTGCAACCCCAGAAATGTACGGTATGCTCTTATGATTTGTGGTATGCATCCTTGGTCCTAAGATGCACATAAAAAATATCCAACATCCTGGTGCTTTAGAAGGGGCCACGATAGAGCAGAGTTATGCCCAGAAACAATGCTTATAAATTGCCCTGCCTCCAGCTTCTACATTCTATATCATACCTAGGATCATCCATCAGTTAGTTCATACAGTAAGAATTGTATTGGGAGAAAAGAGGAAACATCATTTCTAAACCAAATCAACCAAATGAATCTGCAGAGTCCCCATCCGCAGTGAGCTGAGAATTAAGACAAAGTGAATATGCCCATTATGTTAATGAGTCTTCTTCCTAGTTAGTGAAAAGAAGTATTGAGCAGAGTCTTAATGAGTCTTCTTCCTAGTTAGTCCAGAGACGTATTGAGCAGAGAAAGTGCTTACATCGAAACCACTATGCAGAAACCACTATGCAGAAATCCCTTCCTTCCAAAACCCATTCCCTCCTAAGCATTTTCTTGGATTCTGATAAATTAAAATATTCCATTTCAGCTTTAAAAATAAAATGGGGGAAGGGAGGATAATCTCCTTTTGCCTCTTCTGCAAATGAGAGAGAGAAAAATGGGAAAGTCTGAATATTTGGGGACAGGAAGAGAGAATGGAAGGGAACAATATTGAGTGGAAAGAGATTAGAGGGAGCTGGGATGTTTGAGTTTTGATGGGAGTAGCCTGGAGATTGTAACTCTTCCTTTGCATGTTTAAACTTTGATTCTGAGACTGAGCTTGTAGAATAATGCTAGTATCTCAAATGTAAAGCACATGTTCTTCTCTTGAGGATTGATTGGACCTCCATGTTTCTTATGTATTTTACATATTTTTCTATATCCCTGGAGTCAGTTATAACTCTAAAGCTGTCATAACTGGGGACATTTTAAAAAAAAGCTCTTCAATTTGCTGAGACCAATCATGATAACAAACAACATACCCAATAGAACCTAGCTCTGAAACAACCACTCATTCACTGTTTATCATATAATTTCCCCAAACAACTATGGGAACCCCATCAGGCTTTGGCCAAATATTTTAATATGATTTTTATAGCTCTACTGGAGTCTGCTTAAGGGACAGATGGGATTCTCAATAGATATCCAACAATGAACATGTGCAACAGAATAACTCTGCCAGCATCTTGTTCCTTTATGTTCTAAATTCCAAGGGTGTTCAGCCAATGCAAATACATTATAAAATTTATGGAAAGCTCTCCAATGGCAAAACTATGGAGTTCACTTTTCTGTCTGGCTCTGGTGAATGTGTGTGTGTATGCTAAAAGAATGATAGAAATTCAAGGAAGAGATCAGAAATTATCAGAGGCTGAGATACAGAATTTGAAGTCACTGCTGATGTTTGGCTTGAAAACCAGTGCAGAGACTTGATAAATTTGAAGCACATGAAACGCTGATATGAACAGAAGCATAGCCAGTACTTGGAGGGCTTTCACTAAGTTAGGAAAGCTTTTAGATAGTTATAGTATTGAAAAACGATGCGGTAGGCAAAATGCAGATTCCCATTAAGGTCCTTCCTTCCTTGCTTGCTTGCAATTTACATTGGCAACAGAATGTCTTGGGAACCCCAATGTTCCTAACTATACCCTGCCCTTATTTTGTTCCCATCCCATACTTTAAACAGCTTTATGGAATCATAACAACAAAAATCCATTTTTCCTCCTGAAGCCATCCCAGAGCCAAAGTATGTAAGCATTTTTCAGCTCACACTTCTTTTGTGGACTGCTTTGATCAGTCATTGGTAGGTACCTGAGGTGCCTGTATGCTTTTGGCTATTCATTAGTATCTTCAAAATATTATATTGTTTTTTTAGCCAGCCAAGATAACAATAAGAGTCAGGATATTATATTTCTATCCTAGCAAGACAGGATATTTTGTTATAGCAAAGGTCGAGTTATGCTATACATCCCTAGTGAGGAAAGGCTTTCAGATGTTAAAGTCTCTGCATAGTCATCTATCTCAACCTAAGCAAATCCACACACATATTGTGAGGATAAAAAGGGGACATTTGGAAGGAGAATTTTGCTATCAAAGCAAATACCTCAGACAAGTGGACAATTAAGCCATGGGGCTTACATAAAAATGCCTTGGTTGTTCGCATGTAGCAAAGAAGCTAATTTTAAAAAAGGAATGTTCAGCTGAAACCCTTCAATCTTACACTGCGTATTTGTTAACATATATTCTTGTCATATTTCTATGCAGAATTTAAATCTCAGAAAAATAATTAAATAACCAGCAATTCCTCAGCTCTTATCAGAACACAACCCAAAGCCACAAACCCCATTAGATGGAAATCAGCAGGGCAGCAATAGGAACATTTCCTGTTCATTGTGGTTTTGTTCTGATTTGGTTGTGTTTTCTATTGCAATTAATGGTCCTTTTGGGGAGGAACAATTTGAGAATGTGGCAGAGGGGCTTAGGAGGCTGGAAGATTCAAGGTTGTATTTCCCCTTTCTTTTAGTAACAATGGCAAAGGCAAATCTATTTATGTGGTAACTAATAGTCAACACCTAGTGGATGGCACATAATCAATTTCCCCTTTGCAACTGAATAGTTATAGAGGGAGAAATCCAACTATTCCAGCTAATTTAATAGCCTCAAAAGCATTGATGCCTTTGAACTTTGGTGGAGAAAACTCCAAAGAATATCATGGATAATCAAGAAAATAAACAAATGGCTCTTCAAACAAATTAATTGAGAATTCTCACTCAAGGTACAAATAGACAGGCTCAAATTATCATACTTTTGCATATTATGCAAAGACCTAGCTCTCTGGAGAAGGCACTAATGCTGGGAAAGGTGGAAGAAAACAGAAGAAGATAATGACCAGCAGCAAGGTAGATGGACTAAATTACAATGGCAATGAGTGCACCACTGGAGAACTGAAAGAACCAAGATGGAGACAATCATCCTGGAGAAAGTCTACCTATGCAGTCACTAAGAGTCAATATCGATGTGATACATAATCAATCAAACCTATTTCAAAGACTATAGGATTGCTCCCTAAACTATATAATTTAAATCTGTATTGCTTAACTTTGCCTTCCTCAATCTGATGCCAGAAGGTTGTTTGGCTTGGCTTTAAAGATATTAAAACAGAAAAGGGAAAGATGGCCATGTGTCTAAACAATTAAAATGGAGCTCATATAGGAGGATGTGGGTTAAAAGCGGCTCCAAGAACTGAAATTGAATACAAATGTACTGAGATAAGCCACTGCAAAATTAAAACTTGTGATGCACTTTTTCATTTTTTTGTGTGTATTTTTTGGTTTTTGTTTTTGGCAGATACCAGATTATGCTGAGCTGTTGGCAAGGAGATCCAAATGAAAGGCCACGGTTCTCAGAGCTGGTGGAAATATTAGGGGACCTACTTCAGGCTAATGTACAACAGGTAAGTAGAAAATTGTGATGTGTTTTGTATAGCTTTTCCTTTGAATTAGATATGGTTCAGTGGAAGACAGACTGGCTTTCTTCATACTTTTTCCTCTCCTAGAAGTAGGACTCAGTGCCAGTATAGCAGCATGCAAAAAATCTGCATGGCAAAAGTTGGGGTAGACTCAAGCCTCATGGAGGTTGGTGCCATGATCTTTTCCAGAGATAAGCTGTTTGCTTTGCCCATAAGATTCAATTGCATGTTTAGCCATTTCATTCACCTTTGAGCTCCACATTCAATGCATCGGGTGTGGCTCTGATGGAGTTTTACCATTTCAGAGTTCAAGTGGCAGATGGCATATTTAAAGACTCTTTTTTCATACATTTTAACCCTGAGTTTAGAAAAATATAATATCAGGGGAAGTTCTATCCTATGAAACATTTTTAAAAAGCATATCATCCACCAGTGCTTTCAGAAATGCATCAACTCCATGTTGATTGTGCCATAGGACGATTCTGAATGTGTTAATATTAAGGTAAGGGAGCTAAACTAGCTTATACTGTAATATTTCAGCTTAACTGTGGGATAAATCAAACTGTATCAAAATATGTAGAGAAATTTTAAAACCTATATCTTGTTTGTAGTATAGGTGTATTCTGCATTGCGTATATAATAATTAGGTTTCCTTCACCATATTTTCCTTCTGTCTGCATAGGATGGCAAAGATTATATACCTTTGAATACTCTATTACCAGAGGATACTGAGTCTGACCATTGCTCTCCAAGTTCCCCTAAACTTCATGAGAGAAAAAACAATTCAGTACTAGCCTTGACTAATGCAAGTGCTGAAAATTTGGGGTAAGATGAAATGCGAGGATATTTTACATATAAAGAATAGATGAATATCAGTGTGGTTTTTTTTCTGGATCTAGAAAAATACAGTTTGTTGCCCATTTTAAGAAGAGCTTTGATGGATCAGAACAAAACATCCTTTTGGTTTTTAACCATAAATCAAATACATAAATAAATCCTTTTCCCTCATGGATGCATCTGGGAAGCTTGCAAACAAGACATGAACTGAGCATAATTGTAGTGGAAAGAGGGAATGGCCTTGAGGGACAGGAGGAAGAGCTGCTACCAAGACAACAGTCAAATGAAAGGGACTTGAGTCCAGGGCAGAACTGTAATCTGAGAAAACGTCTCAGGCAAGTCCCTCCCTAGTTCTCATGAAGAAAAAAAGGGGGGGGGGAGCTCCTTCTGATTTGCAAGATTCAGTTACTATAGCTTTATAATAAAAGCAGTCTTGACCTTACTGATGCAAGATTCCTAGTCTGATCTACCTTGAACGGCTGTGGCTCTTTACTGTGGCTCCCAGCTCCGATTAAGCTCTGGAAGTTAATTTTTAGCTATCAAGCCCAGTGATAGAGGTCATTTCCACACTACCACCAATTTCATTCCTCAAATCCTCAGGAATGTTTTAAAATTGATCCATGGTGCCTTTAAAGTAGCTGATAATCCCCCATGAGCCAACCAGTGTAACTTCTAGGCATCCAATAGGAGAACATAAAAACGTATTTAGTAATTTGTCAGGTTCACTGCAATCACTAAAGCATGGCATCTAAAACATTGTGAAATTATAGCATTTCAGCATGATGATTCTGTGGCTGAACCTCTGCAGAGAGCAGGCAGAGCCCAGGAGCTGGGAAATTCTACCAATGGTAAAACAGCCCATCCCCTAACTTTGTGCAGCTCCAGTGCTTCAGCTGGGAATTAGGCCTGCATTGTTTTTAGATGGATTACAGGTGAGCTGGAAATAAATGCCATATAAAAATAGTAAATATGCAGGACTGGTAAAATCTTAGATATTCTCTGTATCAAATGTAATTGTGAGAATTCTTTTTATCATTAGTGAAAAGTATCAGTAGTATACTCATGCTATCATCCATGATCGAATATTCACAAGTAGCTACTATATAACTATGTTTTGCTTTGGTATTATCCCAATAAGCTTTTTTCTCTGCTAACTTTCTAAGAAAATATGTTCATGCTTTCAAGATGAAACCATTCCAGAGGGTCAAGACTTTTGAAGAACTTTCACCTAAGGACAAATTTCAGCCTGATGTAAGTAACTCCTAAAATACATGGCACAACAGTTGTTCTTTTGGATTCAGTCCTAGATTGTGAACTGAAAACAAAGGAATGATGATACTTTGTGATCAGTTTCCTCGAGAACAGACATTTTGTAGGAACAGTCAGTTGTTGTGTGAAAGAGGAAATTCATATAGGTAGTCCTCGGATTACGATGACGGTTGGGACCGAAATTTCCATCACTAAGCGATGTGGTCATAAAGTACATCATTAAAGCATTGCTTAGTGATGGCAATCCTGGCAGTCCTGGTTGCTGTCATAACCCCAGGACCACATGGGTTGTTAAGCGAGAAGAGGTGGGAGTTCCAGGCAAGCAGGCCTGCAGATGAGAGCTGGGGTGAGAGCCACAGGTGGGGTGTGCGTGCCATGGGTAGGCACTATGGAGCCTAGGCAGGCAAAAAAGGCGTGGGAGGGACGTGACCTCCTGCCGACTTCCCCATTGACTTTGTTTGTGGGAAGCTGGCAGGGAATATCAGAAATCACGATCATGTGACTGTGGGTTGCTACAATGTTGTAAGTCCTCCTCATTCAATGCCATCAAAACTTTGAATGGTTGCTAAATGAGTGGTTGTAACCCAAGGACTACCTATACAATTATATTAATTTCTTGAAATATGTAGCATAAATATCAGGGATGGTTTATTTCTTGTCAATTAGCAAAATGATAAAAGAGTGCATATTCAATGGAGGGGTGTGGCATGACTACTTACCACTAGAGATATAACCTCCCTTTGAAGGTCATATTACCGCTGAGATAGGCAGATTGGCCTCCTGATTAGACCAACCAACATAGCCAATCACAACAAACTGTGAGAGTTATAGTCTAACACTGTTTGGAGGGGCATCAGCTTGCCTGCCCCACTGACAATGTACTGGGTACCACATTATTCATTTAATGTTTATCTCACCCAGGAGCTAAAAGCAGACAGACAGACAGGTTCATCATAACTTGAGTTGGATTGGGAATGGGAAATGGTTGATCTCACCTTGATCCCCCAAACATATAATTGCTAGCCCTCAAACCTCCAATCCTGCTCTACCCCTATTTAAATAGGAGCAGTAGTGACACTACTTAAGCAGCGATAAGAAAAGAAAGATTTGGGAAAACCAGGACTTGCTGTAACTCCTCGGAAAATCTGTCCATCAAAAGGGTTTCCAAGCTGGAATACCAGCATGCCAGAAAAAGAAGAGAGTTTCAATCTCTCTCTCTCCCCGCCTCCTTCCCCTTTCTCCACTCTCCACTGTGGCTGGACCACAGCCATCACTATCACCACTCTCATCACAAATCCCTATATATAATTTGTTTAAAGGAGTTTCTGGAAAAGATACTGATTGTGATGCGGATAAGAAAAAAAAAATTTTTTTCTCCCCTGTGGCTCAGATTTTCACAGCAGCCCAGAAAGATTTTAGGGGATCATAAAGCTTTTCTTGAAATCTAAATTCAAAGAACTTTGCTTATATCTTCTACTATGGATAGATTTGCTGTTGGCAATGTTATAAAGTCCAAAGCTTCATAATCAGAACCATATTCTCTTTCAGAATTATCAAGCTGAGGGACGAATGGTGCTGCCTTTGAAAGATCTAAAACGTTTTACATGGACCGGCATCAGACCAAAGCAAACCTTTTGGGGGTATTTATTTTATTTCTTTCATTTATTAAAAATATTTTAAGCTTACCTGTTGACCTAGGACAATAAATAGATCTATGAAAATATATCACAATATGATAGAACAAAAAGCAAAATAATATAATAAAATAAACCCAGTGAATGAAAGCAGCAAAGTTAATTAAACAAACAAATGTAATATTTTAAAGTTGCAATTTGGTGTAGCAGCAGGTCAACAGTGAAGGTTCATTACAGAACCATGCAACCAGGGGAGTCTGCAGGGGCAGTCAAAAGAGTCAAGATGGCAACTACAAGCATGCAACTGAAGCCCCATCAAAGGGGGTGGGGCTTCGATTGCATGATTATGGCCACCATTAAAAATTTTGACTCCCTGCCTTTCCTATTTTTGATACTAATTTCTCTCCAGGCTTCCAACAAGACAGAGGAGAGCTCCACTATTTTATTTGAAGATGAGGTGGTTTCGCACTATTTTGCTTTAAAATATTCTGAAATGTATCTTTCAGTGCCAGCCCCACTTTTCCCCATTGCACTGTCCATAAAATACTGTGAGGGCTAAACTGGGCTTTTGTTACTTAGATGCTGGCTTCCTTATATCTGTTAGTTTCAATCACTTCCCTCTCTCTGCTGAGAAGTTAAGATTCTTGCTTGAAACTGAGTAGCTGCTGGGTGATTATCCATCTCTACAGAATCTAGTGATGCTCTTTTCCCCTGAAGCTATTTCTGCCATAGTGTCTTCCCACATTTCTTTATTTCACCTTATTTTGGTGATGCCCAAAGGGAAGAGGGGTGGGGAAACCAGCCTAAAGTAGCTTGGGCAAAGTTCTGATATTAGATCTGCCCATTCCTGCTGCAGTGCCCTGCTTGATGGATGCTTTCCCAAATGATTGATAAAGTGAAAACAGCAAAGCCAAAGAAGCAAACTAATCACCTTGTTACATCAAGAGTGGCACACTCACCGATCAGGTCAATACCATATGACAGTGATTTCAAACAGATGCAACCAAGAAAGAAAAGGCAATGGGAACAGCAAGTCTTATGCCAGGCCCACCCTTCCTATTTTTGATACTATTTTTTGATACTAATGGGTTGACTCAAGGATAGGTGGTTAGCACTAACTCAGTTGTGAGGGAAAGGCCATAGGGTACTCTTGACCATATTTAGATGCTTGCTCCAAGTGTGCAACGCAGCATTATATGCACACAATAAGAAGGGCACAGGCTAAAGGCCTGATTTCACCTGGCCTTTAACAACAGGATCCATGCTAATGATTTACAGCATCTTATCCAACCATCATATGCCACGATAACAGTAATGAGATGGCCAGCTAAACCACCTCTTTGGTTTTATATGCAAATTTCAAGGCTACATGGGAATGTGACAACTGCCTTCTACTCAGCAGGGTAGTGCAAAAGTTAAAGATCTTAAAAAGAGCATGTTCCTAGGCAAATTGCCTCCTGCTTCCATCAGCAAGGGCTCCACCATGTTGATGGATAATGCTAAAAAATGCAGCTGATGGTGCATTGTTGGAGGGTCAATCCCAATTGTTGCCATTTCAGAGGGTGGTCAAGGAGATATAGGCAAGAACAAAGATAACTGGAAAACCACAGCATGCAAGGTTCTGGATGAGTAGGTTGCAAGAGCAGAGACTCAGTATTACCGAGGGAAATAAAACAGGACAGAAATTAAAGAGGGTCAGGTAGGCAGCCTTTCAGTTTGGGTCCTATAAGGATCTCTTTGCTAGCAGAAACATCATTATCATCTACATCTAACAAAATAACAACCTCCTTTGCCTGAAAACGTAATCGCAAACAACCTGGTGTATTCCTTTCTAACTCTTCAAAGAATCCCCCTTTGAGAGCAGGTGAAAGGGACAAGGTGACTTACCAGCTGTGGTGGTGGTAGTGATCAACTTCAAAGGCAATTTCAAAGGGGCCTTCCCAAGCACAAATGTTTGCTTAAAAATTATTAGTTCAATTTTTCCCTCGTTCCTGCCATATATTTTTGTAAGTAAAGTAAATTTTAGTTATTACTAGACAACCCATGACCTTTTGGGTTGTAGTTTCAGAGATATTTCCTTACCTAAACAGAATGATCATGGGCAGGCAAAAAAGCAGTGGGAGCAGGAGCAACTTTCAACTTGCTGCCAGCTTCCCCATTGACTTTGTTTGTGGAAAGCTGGCAGAAAGCATCAGAAATCTTCCTTCCTTCCTCCCTCCCTCCCTCTTTCAACATATAATATAGGCTTGTGCCATTTGCCCTCTCCTCATGGCCCCCAGGAGAGCCCTGGTGAAGCCTCCTCCTCCTCCTCAGCTGACTTGCAAAACCGCCTGCCACTTTGCTGGGGGGAAATGGAACAAAGGGAGCCACAGACCATGAGGAAAACTGCACCCCCGCTCCTCATTCTAGTGTGCCCTCAAGGGCCCCCTGCCTCAAGGGAGGAAGAGGGCTCACCCATTGACCACTAATGCCTCCCAGCCACCCCTACCTCACCAGCAGGCATCCAAATCACTCCCTCATTCTTCCCTCAACGCCAACCGCCATTAAGAGATTTAAAATTTTGGCCTTGCTTCCAAAGCAGCCAATCGCCACTCGCCCATCAGGCCTTGTTGCCAGCCAGTTAGGCACAGGGGCCAGAGGCAGGTGGGAAAGATGGGGATACAGCCATGATGATCACGTGACCTGGGCTAATTGTGGTGCCATGGCAGTGCAGCAGTGCTGAAGTGGCCATAAATTTCCCAAATTTTAATCCCATTGGAGTCATGGGTCCTGAATTTTGGATGCATCCTGTCAGTTAGCCCATTTGAGGTACGTTGATTCAAAAATTGTTGCTCTATGACACACTGTTTTACCCAGTTAAAGGTTACAGACACGAACATTTTAGTACTGTATAGATTTGTAAACAATTTGTTTGCAGTTGTGTTTTGTAAGATATTTATATTTAAGAAGTGACTACTATAGAACTCCAAATTGTGACCAGAGGGAGCAATGAGCTGAAATCAGCATTTTCAAAAGTCATTGTTCATTTTTTTCTTCAACTGCCTTGCAGTTCTTTAAACCTTGATACACATAATCAAAGATGTATGTGCTTAAAAGGGGTGGGCAGCTTTCAGTAAAGATTATTCAGTTCTGGAAAGAGGAAAGTATGAGAAAGAAACTTAAAATAAACCTGCCATGATGTTGTTTAAGATGGGCCAGAGAAAAACTGATAGGTTTTCAAGATCCTGCTATTCTAAAAGAGCATTTCTGGAATTTCTGATGTGCCTGTTTCTTGATATTGCCTACCTTGAAAGGCTGACACATCCCACGTAAACTTCAGTTCACAATTATTCCACCTGAGCAGGTTGCAGGAGGAAATATGATTTCAATTGATTTCTCCCTTGAAGTTTCGCAAGAAGACTAAAACTACTTTTATTGAGACTGAGATAATAAGGGAATCCTGCAAGTCTGATTGTGCTGTACCCGCTCCTCCTCCTTATAGTTTACTGAATTAGGGAGGTATCTGTCTGAGCCACTTCTGAATGTTTCAGCCCTTTCTGCCTAGGCAACATCTCCTGTTTAACTCTATCAAGGTCATCTTCCTTACTCTCTATACATGTTAAGTATTTAATTTTACTGATAGTAATTGGAACACTAGCTCTTCAAAGCTACTTTTATTTCACATTAGTTATACAATTATGTTTTAAAGAGTAAATAGCAAAATAATAGCAAACAACCTGTTGTATACCTTTGCCTCCCAGCTAAAAAGAAACTGCTTTTACTTACAGCTTCTACCCTGGAAGCAGAAGCAAGGAACCTGTCTTTTCTGACACAGCCAAGCCAAATGTCTACAATTTCAGTTTTGGTCATACCACTGATATGATGCAACCAGTTACTTGTAGCAGAATAATGTGGGAAGAGAAACAAGTACAGGATCTCTCGCCTCCCAGTTATAATTCAGTGGTGCGGCATTCTACTTGCTAAAGTCAAAATATCTGTCCTTCGAGTTGCCAGTCTCTACTATCACTGCTTCAGTGCTGAAATGACTATTTTGCTGCTCATCAATTCATCATCACCTGGGTCAATTTCCAACAATTATTTCTATAATGCCATTCTCTCTCCTCCACTTCAACATGTATTTGCTCCTATCCAATAGTTGAAAGTAACACAAATATAGTACAGAAGAAGAGATAATGGCTGGAGGGAATGAAATCTTGTGCACTGTTTCCCCCAGTCCTTAAAATCAGATTATTGCACTGAATTTATTTAATTCTTTAGTTCAGATTACTGTATTGTGCGGCAAGGTTTACTAGTTCAGAAACAGCTATTAATCTAATCTAGTCAATTTGATTTATAAGGGTGACTTTACACTTTTACTAGTCATTTGCACTTTTTGTGGAAAAGGAACCATTTTACTACACTTTTTAAACAGTTTAAACCAAACCTGGTACTGTTCTGGATGAAGAGGCATAGCTCAGTAGTATTATTCTCAATCAGCTGAAAACAGAAACACTGGCTTAGGGATAGTTTTTGCTTTTGAACAAGAAGAAACAAACTTGAAAAAGCAGTGCCACCAGATATTCAGCCAGCCCCATCATTAGGCAGAGGGAAGCAATGCCTCATATTAGCAGTTGTTGAGGGCCAGCAGTGGCAGTCCCAACCCTTCTTCCTGAGTGTGTCAATTTGAGGCCAGAGCAGTGTAATTCATACAGCCTTACCTGCTGCCTACAGGTCTGGTGTAGGGTGTTATCTCACCACCAATACTGAAATCCAATCAGCATCTGTATATGAAATAGGGAGAGTAACATCTTCTTATTGTTTGCCCATGGTAGCAAAACTTTTGGGGCAGCTCTAACTAGATCCTACAGTGGGTACAGAAAATTAACATCAAATGATCTACACTGCCTCCGAAACTGTATATATACAACATCAACATTACTTTCACACTGCTTCAACCAGTATGGTCCCCTCTCCACCACTGGCCTGTATCCAAGGAATCTGAGAATTTTGGTTTGTTAAAAATGGAATGTGTTAAAGATCCTGCTCCCCAATCCCAAACCTGCAGTTCTTGGGGGAAGGAACAAGTATTAAATGAGGGTTTCTGTGAACAGTCTAGTACACAGCAGGGTTAAAGACTGTTGAAGCAAGATGTGCAGTCACATACAGAGCAGTCATATAAGAACTAGGACATTTTGTTATTACACTATAGCCCTTTGGATAAGTGGAACATGGACACAAGAATCACTGCACTGATGCAGTGTCAAGCCAGTAGCACTCATCTGTTTCAGAACTAAGGGCTAGCTCACAAAACTGAGATATAGCGTGACCAAACGTTGGTTCCAACCAAGACACTGAAACTGGAAAAGGAAAAATTGGGATAACTGCAATATACTTTGGGCATTTGGGGACGCACAACTAATTGGTGCCATCATGCAACATGATATACAACGTTCTGACACACTCTGCTCCCTCTTAAAGACACACATTCACTTCTCCTTATAGTTAGAAGTGGGCTCAAAACATTCACAAGCAATGCTGAAGTAGCATTTCAAAATCACCATTGATTGGAACTGACCCGGCTTGCCCATAGATAGAGTTGGGCTTCAATCAGCTGTATAATTCTTAGTTCTAGGATAAACTAAAGAAAGATACTGCAGTATACATGGGGGAAAATAAATATGCACAGAATTGCCATTTAAAAAAGTAATTTTGCAGGTTATAGAATTCAGCTCCCCTTAATGCAGAATTTAGGATACCCTGATATAACAACAGACAATTCTATATATATTTCTTACATTATATTCAATTTTTATATTCCAATCGCAAATGACAACATAGGAAGATGAGTTACCTTAGGTTAGCTTATTGAGGATAAAACTAGTATCCTTTTGCAGTTAATGCACATGGAACAGGAAGGCTAAGAAAGCTCTTTCTGGAGTATTGCTGAACTAAAATTGCTGCTGCTATTTCAGCTGTAACATTTATTTAGTGCTAAAACTGTCCTGCAAGGTTCATTCACACTAAAGGTTAGGTAGCATTGTAGGGAACCATTGTTTGGGCTCATTAATGAACCACTGGAATGTTAACCACTCATGTTAGTCATGCTTACATTCCATTGGGAATAATGAAACTTAGATTATGCCTAAATTTGCTTCATTGGGATCACCCAACAGTTCTTGGTTGAAGTCCTATCTCAATTATTTTGAAAGAACTTCCAGTGAACTCCAATGGAGTTTACTTCTGAGGAAACTTGCTTAGCATTAAGTGTTTTTGGATTTGGGAGCATTTTATAAAATCAATAAGCTTATGATCTTTGTGGTATCTGTCAAATATAAAAGGACGTACTAATATTTGAAGTATGATTCATTTAAGAAATGATTGAAAATTTTGGGTTTGGGTTAATCTTTAGTTAGGCTATTGGTTATAAATGGATTTAAAAAAAAGTTCTAATGCTTCTAATGAGAGTTTTAAAAACTGGATGTAAATAACATGTACCTGCACCTTAACCTTTTAAAACTATTTTTATGTATGTTTTCTAAATTTTCAAAATAAAACTTATTTCAAGTTTTAAGAGAATGGATTTGAGAGAGAGAGAGAGAGTGCACCTAATAATCCAGCCATCTTTTACAGAAATGTCTTATCATTGGTCATGTTTTGAAGCAAAAGAATTTAAGCATTTTGATGAGGAAGCCAAAGTATGCCAGAACTTTTCAGAACACGTCTTTTCTCAAAGATTATAAATTATCAAGAGGTGCTAATCCTAATGCTAACCTTGCTGGACAGTCATGAAGAATGTTACGCATCCATGTTATTTGCCATAGTCTCCATGAAGGCAAATAAATGAAATTCCGCCCATGTGGAGAGCATTATTTGTCATTTTCTAGCCTTTTTAAGTCTCTACATACATCTATCATGCATACTGAAGTGTTCACAAGGGATGTGGCAAGGACACACCCACAAACCCTAAATCTCAATACCCTGCTCCTCTATAGAATGTTATGTATTTTGAGGGGGATCCAAAGGTACTTAAAAGCTTCCTCACAACAACCTTTAGCAGTGTGCAAAAGCCTTTTACAAATGTATTCACTCCTAGGGATGGTGAGAATAGGTCTATGAGTGTTTTTATACACTCATAGAAGCTTATGATTTTTGGTAGCAGATGATATACTTTTGAATCTTACACAAATCCCTAAAGGGAAATACTTTATGTATTCCTATTGTGTTTTGACCCAGTTCTTTAAGTGACTCAAAAGTATAATTCCATGTCTCTTAAAGAATATGTCCCCCCCATCCCCCAAATCCTATTTTTCCCCCCCGTCTTCCCCATATTTTCTCTACCTTCCTGTGGAAGGCCTTTAATACTGCTTTCTGCTTGAGCAAGACAGTTGCACTCTTGTCAAACATTTATTGAAATCAAGTGCATTAGAGAGCCCTTATCTTGTCTCACATGATTCTGGTGCATTGATACTGGTGCTCAGTATCTGAACATTTAGAAATCTGTTAACTGATAATGCAACGCTGTAATGTATTTGGGATTGCCACTGTAATCTCTGACTAATCCTACTTTGACTCTATCTCTTTCTGTACTGATTTTAGTAACATGCAAGTCCTTTACTTCAAAGGCTATAATTTATAGAAAACTAGCCTCTAGTAATCTATGGTTACTAGTCTTTTCTTTCAATGGAAACTTCTTCCAACAGTCAATGATTCAGTCTATGAACTAGCACAGATGGATGTGCACCTCTCCATTTCTGGGAGGATTTCTGAGGCAAGCTGCTTTTAAACTCCCCCTCTCCACCTCCTTGAGTTATATCGAACAAGATATACAGCTCCATCCATAGATCCAACTGTAACCAAAATACCATAAGGTAGAAACTGTCAGAAACTTCATTCCATCCAACAAAGATTGTAAGCATCAACAGAAATTCTAATTTACAGCAAGTATGTTTTCTTCATAAGGTCAGGTGGTTAGCACATTGGGATACAGATTCTTTGGGGAAAAACTCATTCTACCATATTATCAATTCCCACTGGATAAATATCAGTTGGGTACAGTCTTCATAATATACTTTTCAGCTTAACAAATGTATAAACAAAGCATTTTATAGTTCACCATTTATAGAAGGTGTCACTCAGGCAGCATGCCCAGGTGCAATACAGGTGGTCCTTGGGTCACAATCACTTGCTCAGAGACTATTCGAACTTGTGATGGCACTGAATGAGGACTTATGACCGATCCTCAGAGTTATGGCTGTCACAGCGTCCCTGTGATCACGTGATTGCGACCTGAGCACTCAGCACCAAGCTCGCCATCATGAGCTGTGGTCACGTAATCATGATTTCTGACATTCCCTGCCAACTTCCCACAAGCAAAGTCAATGGGGAAGCTGTCAGAAAGTCAGAAGTCATGGTCATGTGAGGTCTTCACTTTAACAACCTGCACAATCCTCGCTTAACTACGGCAACCGGTACTGTCGAAATTGCCATCGCTAAGCGATGTGGTCACATGACATTGCACTTTACAACCACATTGCTTAGCGCCAGCAATTCTGGTCCCAATTGCCATTGTAACCTGTAAGCCATAAACCTCTCAAGCTTCGCTTACAGACTGTGAAACTCCCTGATCTGAAGAAATATCTTCTTACATAGGCATGACAGCATATATATCTACTATTGAATGAGTCCAGGAGCTGAAGTCAACAATGAGATCCTTTAAAGGTGTTCCTGAATTCAAACCTGAGCTTGGATCCTCCTATGATAATGGCAGTAAGAAAATCTGCTTGGAAAACTTTGCCTCAAACACATGACTTTGATGTTTAGAAATATATCTAAAATCAAATGAGCAGAGATCTGCCTTAACTTGAAACCATTTTAATTCTCCGCAGTTCCATCTATCTTTGCATCAAGTTTCAATCTATACCAGGTTCATATAATCAGCTTCCTCCAGCATCCTGTTCAATTGCCGCCCAACTAAATTCTCAACAACCTTCCATTAAAAGGGAATGATGGAAACTGGATAATAATTATCCAGGATTGTTGGGTCCAAGCCTCCAAGGCCAAACAAACTACCTTCTTTCTCTAAAAGCCAACACCAGTGCATGGATCTAACTACTGATACTCTTTTACCATCCTTGTTGCCATAATTGATAAATATAATCCCAAATATGGGCTCTTACCCATCTTTGATCAGATATACTCTTCATCTACTTCCAGTAGCTTTCCAGGCATCTCTTCTGAAGCTTAAGAGTGGCCATGCCTCATTTCACAGCTGTTGAAATCACTATGAATCATTAGTGTTAGGCAAGAAGGCACAACTCACAGCATGTATGTGTTCCCCAGAACATACTTTGGATGGATGAGGCCATTTTGGGGCCTTTATTTCAGCATTTCGTTGGAGCATCTAGCTGCACCCTGGGATCAGCACACAGGGAGATGCTGCACATGGGCAATGCAGTCAAAGGCTCCCTCCACCCACTCATTCTAAGTTGTGACTAAGATCTCATCTAAACTGCCCACCAGAGCCCCAAGCTCCCTCAGGAACTCAAGGTCTGTAAATCATCTGGGCAGGCTGATTGAGTAAGCCTTGTCTTCCCATGGAGATATGTTACACCAGTGAGCTGGAGGGCAATCAGATAGTTGATGGTAATGGATTGATGACAATGTCCTCCAATACTAAATCATGTTGCAATTTTCTCAAGACAAAAACTTATCTAATCTGTGACCACTGGTATGTATTGGGGGCATTTGATGACTTAGGTCCATGGTTGCCATGGAGGCCATGAACTCCTGAGCTGCCCCAGCCTCAATATCTCTTCTGTTATTGTCTAATCTATAATCTATATAGATATATGGTTCTAGTAAATTATAGAGAAAAAAACTGTAAACAGAGTTACAAAGTAGAGACATTTTTCAATTATTCAACCACAGAGTGGCTATATCTAATTTCACAGCTGCTGAAATCACTATGAACCATTAGTCTAAGGCAAGGAAGGCACAACTCACAGCACATGTGTGTTCCCCAGAGCATACCTTGGATAGGTGAGGCCATTTTGGGAGCCTTTTTCAGTGTTTTCATTGAGATACCTACCTGTCTGTGGGTCTTGGGAGCTAAAAATATTTTGAACAAAAGGTTAGCTTTTGGCTACAAGAAATGTGTGCTCCACTGATCTAAGCCTTCTTATATGTGAGGAAATTCAACAGCTTATCTAGATTTAACTGTCATGATAATTAGCCTCATTTGTCTGTGGGGGCAGAAGATGATAGATCTGACAAACTGGAAGAGTGATATACAATTTTACAACATTGCATTATATCTATCAGTCAGTTCACCATCTTTGCCTGCTTTTCTGTATCTGTGTACAGTAACAATCTACTGAAGATTGTTTCCCCAACACAGAGTCCTTATGACTGCAATGCTGTATAAATATTTTTTATTAATCAGTAATATTGTCTCCTGCCACAGAATATCCGGGCTTGATGGAGTCTTAAGTATCAAAAACAGGAAGAAAGAGCGGTCAATAAGCTGCCTGAGTTCGAACTGAATCAAAAATCTTTTTTTTTCTCTTTGCATCCCCTGCAAAATCCCAGAGATCATCTGTCATATATTTACAATGCATGAACAAATATAGGAAACTGATATAAGACATGGAAGTACACTTAACATGGAAGTACACTTCTATATTCTTCTATATTCTTATAGCATTCACATTAGGTAGAAATAGACCCTAAGTCAGGTTTTTCAAATTCTTTCAGGGCGCAGAACCTGTTAGTTTAAAAAAAAAATCCTGGAACTCTTGATCAGGAGGCAAAGCTCCAGTGATATAAAATTGGCTGCATCTGGGTTAACAACAACAACAACTTGCTCTTAGTCTCTCCTGGAACCTCTTCAAATTTCAGCAGAATCTTAGGGTTCTGGGGGACAGTTTGAAAAACCCTGCTTTAAGCCTTACTTTGCATCTGTTACACTGAGCATCAAAAGAATCTACTTCAGAAGATTTAGAATTTAGCATCCATTGTTCTCTTGATTTAGATTCCAACTTTATTTTGTACAACTCAAGCAGTGCACATAATGCTCCCTCCTCTTATTTTCTTCACAACCACTACCCTATGAAGTGGGTTGGCTGTCTCGCCCGAAGTTAGGCTTCTGTGCCTAACAGAGAACTAGAACTCCCAGTCTCCAACTCATGATCTTAACTGGACAAGGAACTACAAATTCTACTCCAAGCCTACAGCAAGAACAGCCAATCTTTCCCAATTTCACTTAAGATATACTTTTTCCATTTCCCATACTTAGTGGACTTAAACAGGGAAATTACACATGCATTCTGGGTCATTATGTGATGGATCAGTGTACATTTTTTAAAAATAGCTTATTAATTTTTCCTGCCTTTTTTATGTCTGAGAAAGGGCACCAAGCAAACTTGCTGTAGCTTTTATTTTAATCTGTTAAATAAATTTTCTAAGGCAAAATCTGCATTAAGGAATCAAAAATCCAGATAAATTTATACAAGAAAAAATATTGACATTTTTGTGTAGTTAGTACAAATTTTATGAGTTTTTACACTTTACATAAACATTACAGGGACTGTGCAGGTACAGAGGCCTTCACCATGCTTTATTTTTGCAAATAACAGTTCAAGTAATATAAAATTTCATAAAACTCAATTATACTTTTTTGAACAACAAATTACTAACATTTTGTTAAAGGTGACAAGGGAGGTTAAACAATTTACTTTTAAATAATTTTTCAGAGACCTTTGATTACTCTGAAGATTGCACTCAGTTGATACAAGCAGAATACATGTATATTCTACTGCTTGAACATGAGCAAAAAATTTACATGTTTATTTTCAGACGAAAGCATCTGTACTTCAAATAGGCAATATGTCTTTTCAAGTAATGTGTAATGTAGCCAATCCCCACAATGGAGTATGTAAGATCAAAAGAAAACACCCAATTAATGCAAGAAATAGAACACAATATCCATATCTTTGCTTGCTCAAAGGAAGCCATATTATTTCTGGTATTCTTTATTAAAAATACTGCTGTACATGTGAAAAGAATGAAAAACAGGATTAAAAGGTAACACATAGTGGGATCATGACATCAGAATGTAACATACCGGTGCTTTTTAGGGGAAGATGCTCACATCTAGAATTTTACTGGGACAAGGGCAAAATGAAAAACAAAAAAATCACATTATATACCCCCCAAATATTTACAGTGTAGCAGAAACAAAAGTCCAAACAAGCAATCTAAAACAGGACAATTTAAATTTAAACTAGTATCACATGATTTCAAAGGTTGCCCATTCTGTGCTTTGTACTGTAAAACAGGAAGGTTAGAATTGTTTCCCTGTGTGGAAAAAGCAGGCATTGCCTTTTTAAAATTGTTATTCTGTTTTAGAGATCACGTACATAACTCTTCTCATGAAAGGAACATGCTGGACAGACTTCTAGCTGGAATTGTACTGGAGTGGAAGGATTCTCCCCCCAAAAAACACCAAGTAGAAAAAACATGGACCACATAAAAAAACAAAACAAAATTCCACATTGTTCTATGCATTACCCAACAGCAATTATTTCTAGGTAACATTTACATATGGAAACATATTGGCTCTCTGCACGTTTCATTTTGTAAAATTTACTTTAAAACAAGTCCTGAGATTACTGGGGCCAAGGAATGGATACCATGTGCTGACAAAGGTTTGCAAAATGCAATTTGTCTTTATGAGGTGGGCCTTGCTTGTACAGCGAGGATGAGACTGAAGCCCTGCTTTACCCCTGCCTTTGCTTTTCCTGATATATTGGTCCACAAAATAATCTGTTGAAAACTTTCCAATTCCTGCAACTGAAGAGATGATCCCCTTTCATTTAAAAAAAAAAACAACCCAAAACGAAACACAATAGTGGGAAAAAAGAAGCCTCAGCCCGCTTATAAATAAAGCATTCAATATTTCTCCTAGAATACAATTACTACTTCTTTTTGTACAAAAGAATTACAATATGATTTTCAAAAACATATAAAAAGACAGCTGCTCTTCATCAAATACATGAGCTAATGATAAAAGACTGGTTTGCCATATTCATATCTTAAAGTCCCTGTTCCTTATGATATTAAAAAATAATGTTATGGCAACTGTTATCTTCTGAATAATAAACATTATGGTTTAATTTTCTGCCAGATTAAAATAATTGGCTTTTATTTATTTCAGCTCATCAATTGATACTACCAATTTCAGGCTCCATTATGTTTAAGTAAAGGTGTTAAAGGTGGCCTCTGTTTTCCAAAGTCTTCATTATGAAGAGCACTGTTTTCTTGAGATAAATCTAAAGTAGGAGTGTCATCATTAAAGCTTATAAAACTGGAGAGAATTATTAAAAATTTATCTGAAATTACAAATATCAAGAATAAAATGGATGTCAGTAACATCAGTTGCAAGTGCTTTGAATCAGTTCTGACACCTTTTGGAGAAAGTTTCCATATTTTCTTCGTGGTAAGCACCCAGTGCTATTAAATATTCAGTGCTGGGTAAAGGATGCCGATATACAGTCTTCACTACCGCTTTGAGAAAGGAAAAAAAATAGTCCTATATATTTGGCAGTCATCAGTATCAAAGTGTAGACGTTCTACTATAAGTTCCCTTGAATACCCAAGCTTGCAGATAATAGTGGGTCCAGTATCGGAAAGTTATTTAAGGGGGGAAAAATCCAGACTTGAAGACTGAATATTCATGTGTTGAGTATTATCAAAGGTAATATTACTTTGGGCTAAGCAGTGACTGCAAAGGCACAGCAGACCATCATTCCTCCAGAATCAGACTATAAAACTTCAAAAGCTCTCGATGCCAGACAACTGCTGTGTGTACTTAATCTTCTGAACAGTGTCTCTGTATCCGTATCCAGTGTAAAGTACCATAATAAAGCTGTGGTTCAAAGAACAGAACTTTATACAAAAGAAGGGTATTATAGGTAACTTAAAGGAATACATTCCTGAACTCTCAGGATTGCAACAATTACTTTTTAAAAAGTCTATTAAAAATTGCATAAATGTAAATGTATCTGATTAGCAGGAAAATATAGAAACAGGTATTTTATTTAAAAGGCGCTGGTTGTGTTTAGAACAAATTGGGTTAACCCCTGAAAGTACACAACTCAAATGGTGCTGTTTTGCTTTGACAAAGCTTCAGCCAAATAAAAGGGATTTTATATATGATGTTTCTGAGATATTTTACTTGATTTTTTTTGTTTTGTTTTAAATATTCCTCTTCTCGTTTGATTAATTAATCAAACAGTGGATGGCATATTATACAGTTTTACAGAGGTTACAAGCTACACTGTAATTTACAGAACACAATTTCTATGAAATTATTTACCTGGTCCTTTATAGTATTTGGGGTGCAAATAATATTAAAACCAATAAATTGCAGTATATTCAGTGGCAAAAAAAAAAAAAAAAAATCCCAGAAATGTCTTTGCAAAGAGATTCCCTTAGTAAGTATCCAATGTGGCAAAACATCAGGGATCAGAAAGTTTTTAAAAATTAAAATTAGTGCATATACAAGTGGAAAAAAAATAAAAGCAGGAACATCATGCCCCTGATGTGTTCCTTTAAAATAAATTCTTCACAGATAAAGCCTCCAATGGCAGCCAGAGCTCCAGGGTAAGCAAAAACATTCTTCCCTTCAAGTAACAGTGTACCTGACCGAAGTGCAACATCTCGTGGTGTTTTGTTTCCCAAAATATGAAATGAGATGATGACAATCCGTTGTAGTGCAATTTGCTCTTGGTTCTGTTCCTCAGCAATGTCCTGCATGCTTTTTGCAAGTACTACAACTGGCCGTTCGTGGCTGCAATCAGTTCTTGAAAAGTATTTTCAAAGCAGCGTTTTAGGTCGCTATATGCCACCACAAGGACACTCTTCTCATCTCTGGAAATGAGGCTTATTTTTTCTGGCACACCAGCATCTAACTGAAATCAAAGTGGAGAGAATGTCAGGCCTGTTTGTCTAATAGAGCTTAATAATCCTCAGCAGTTTTGGCATGCAAAGAAAAAAAAATTCTTCATTCATCCTAGCATTCCTGTTAAGACAATAGTCATTATTCTCCACTGACATCCACAGTTTATATCTACATCACTTTCCTGAAATGCACCTGTTTTTGATCTATGGTTGTCATGAAAATATCATTTTAAAAAAAGTGACTCAACACCCAGAACCAATGGGAGAAAAAAAGAAAAACGTCTAACACTGCAGGTCAAATATTATAGAGAATATGAATTTTCAACTCAGTGAAATGTTTAGGCCAGTGTTTCTCAAACTTTCTGCAACAGTAGACCACAACATAAACACTTAAAAAACACAAGAACTACCCAATTAAATGTGTGCCTAGCAACTTTGTCCTTAAGAGTATGGGGTTCGTGGTTTTTAATGAGTAAGATGAATACAATTGCACTTTCGTATGTGTTTTTGTATGCTTCCCATCCCTTCCATTTTTAAAGACCCTTTTAATCTATATAATTTTTACTGAACATTTATCCAAAATTAAATATTTATTTACCACTTGAATTATTTTATGTATACCATGCCATAATAGCAATTCTTGGCAGGCAGGAGCATCTTCCATAGAAATCTCTCAGTATTAATGAGCTAGGGATGAGTGGATCTCCAATTCAAGAAATCCATTTTAGATATTCATCACTGAACTTCCTATTCAAGCTTCTGTTTTCGAGTTGCTCATGTGAGTTCACAGCTCTACTTTGCAGAGCGCATGTGGACTCATAATCAGTAATTACACTCCAGATCTGTTTGCTATTTTCAGTTTTTTCAATGGTAGGACTCATTCCAGCACTGCTGTTGATATTAACACTTGTGTGTTTCAATAAACCAGTTTTCAGAAATTTTTCCATTTTCACAAGCCATCTGACTGGCTGGTAAATGCAGGAGGTGGGGATTCAGGTGGTAAGTGATCTCAGGCCTGGGCAGCTAACTGGCAGTGAACATGGGGAGATTATGGCAGACCACCCGATAAATCTCCATAGACCACAAATGGTCTTTGGATCACAGTTTGAGAATCACTGGTTTAGGCAGACACACAGCATAGAACTTTTGTGGGTCCATATTACATCAAAGTGCATCAAGGAGTCACTCATTTGAATGGACCCCCAAGTCAAAGCCTCCAGCATGTAGAAAGCTTACACTTCTTCTTGATGTAGTAGCTTTCCAAATGCAGGGATGACATGGAAGAACTATCAAGCAACCAAGCAATCCTGTCCGTGCATCCTGGAATGGAAGAGATCCAACAGCAGATTGCATTACTTCATACACCACAAAACTCAACTAGGTTTAGGGTGAGACTTGAGGGAAAAGAGGAAGATTAACCTAATCTTACCACTTGGAACATTTCACTTCTCAACTTTACTATGAAGGGGTCCACTACGTGATACCTTACAATGTACTTCTGAAAATAAATCTCAAGTACTTAAAAAAAAAAATATATAAAGATCCATCTTATTTGATTACTAAGGTATGTTTAACTAGAAATAGGATTCGGCAATCAAAGGGTTCACATTCTCCTGTCCCTCCAACATAACTGTGAAGAAGATATTGAAAGCATCTATTTTTAAATCAGGCATGATTTATTGTTACATTATTGTTGCACTGTTGTCGTTATCATTGTCGTTGTCATCATCATCATCTCAATTTATTAGGGAAGTATATAACTTCCCACTTTGGGGACAGAACCTTCTGCAGGATACTAACAGATACAATTTTTTCTTTTGGACTATGCTGATTTGGCCATTCTGGAGCCATGTTTAAAACACCATCAGCTAAAATCTGTTCTGGAAGATATATTTCTAGAAAATAACTGGATCACTCTCAGAACAGTTGGATCAGTGTGTTCTATAAGAAAAATGGAACATCTTATAGCTTCCTGGAATGTTCCATCCGCAGAATAATTTTGCACATAAGCACAGTTTATGTGCATATAAAAAAAGGATCAATACTTAAATCAGTTAATTTCTAATGGTTATTTTAAAGATTTTGAGAGATTGCATTTTGAATATGACTTAGCTATTTATTTATGCATTTATTTGGTAATATATACAACTGAAACATGTACTAACTAAATATATTTTAGCAGCCTCCAAGGCACCTGTAGTTTCTGAAATCTTAAGAGATGCAATACTTGAAAAGAAACCAACAAACCAATTTTAAAGGAATTAAAAAGTAAAATGAAAGTTAACATTAATTATATATCCAAATTATTATTTATTTATTTATTTATTTATTACATTCGATTTATTGTCCGCCCATCTCCCCCC